ATGGGCGCAGTCCATATCTCTTCCATTTGTTGGTCGCATAACTGGTCGTAGCTTACCACATTTCACTTCTCGGTGCATAGCCTTGGAACCAGAACTAGTATGTCCAGTAGGAGTGGTTGCTGAACTCTGGATCTTGGCCAGATACTTCCAAAACCTTTGCCTGCATTTGTGAGCATACCTGCTTGTCGGGCCCTGCAGTGTGAAATGTAGAATACGAAGGAAACTGCCGTTGCCTGCCGCTGCGGATATCACTGGTCTTGTGAGGTCCTTTGCCAGTCCTTCATACCTCGGCCAATCCAACTGGGCAGCGTGCTGCTGCAGCCCTTTGAATGAGTGAGATAAGCAAAACGAATCCGTGAAGGCAACGGCACCATCCGCGGGACTTTTGAGGTTGATAGTTCTATTGGACTGGACAAGATTTACTAGTTGTGCTCGATGATACATGCACCGATATGGCGCGCGCGAACAGTAAGAGGTAATCCCAGTCTCCTGAGGTGAACTCTCCAGCTCATCAGTACTTCGTGAGCTAGATATTACGTTTTTTTCCCAACCTCGAATGTCAGACACACTATAATGACTTTCGGTGGTGCCATTTGCCTGCTTGTCCAACTGTTCTTGGCGGAGCTTCGACACACAGAGGCAGCGGCATTCGCAATGCCAGCACATTTTGCAGAAGGTTCCTCCAACGCCGCCCGTCTGCAGAATATACTTGGCGTTAGGCGAAAACTGAACGTACTCTGCTGCGCAAGCATCAGCAGATGCAATGGTTTTGACAGTGCGTAATCCATCCGATAGGCTGAGGAGCACTGTTTCGCCATCGGTTCCTTGCAGCTTCCGATCCATACTTGTGGGCTCAGCAGTACGATGACGAGCAACAGAACCTGCCAGCAACGATCCATCTGGAGACACATCGAACGCCTTGAAGCAAGTCCGCCATCCAGCACCATGGTCTTCGCTTGGTCCTAACCTCCTTGCTTCCAGCGGATACGCGACGGGATCTCCGTTGCTGGAACCTGCAGAACTATAATGAAACGGAAATCGGAGGTCAAAAAGGCGGAGCCACCGGTCTTCCCGGCCTCCAGTGAGGAAAAGCTGCGGATGGAGCGCTATTCCTGTGCCAATCCCACACACAGCGCCGTCATGTGCAGACGGGAGACGCAACGTCGGACAGAACTTCTGCCCAAGGAGCTTTGCAGTGATGCCTGAAGTACGCGCGTCGAACACCATTACATCGCCATTTGGAGCGCCGGAAAAGATGAGAGGGGCACCTGGGTCTCGGTTTATATGGGTACATGAACGGCGGTGGCCATTATTTGCATTTGCACCACTCCCCGGACTCAGCTGAATTTCTGAGATGAAAGAGCCGCAATTCATGTCGAACGTAAGAAGATCATTTTCAGACGTGCACGCTAACGCCAGCGACGGACTGTGCGGCGTAAATAAGATGTCGCAGACTTCCCGGGAGCGAGAACTAAAACAATATTGCGGTAATGGCAGCACGTAGCTTGCCACGGGGAAAATTGCACTCGGTGGTTTGTAGTGCGGTCGGCACAGTGCAAGTAGATGAGTATCCACTGTAGCTCGTCCTTCAGCAAGAGACCCGTAAGCCAAAGAACAAATTGAGCTGGAGAGCAACCGCTCCATTTCGTTGAGGTGTGCCCTAATGCTGTCTCCTCTACAGCAGGCAAACGGCTTGGAACGGCTCAAAATACATCGTGATTAAATATGCTCTTTTCGGCGGACGCCAATTGCTGTACAGCGCCTACACGCACTGAAAGACGCCGAAGCAACATTGTTAACGTATGCAAGGCAAGATAGTGAAAGGCCAACTCATTTCAGGGCGAAGACCGAATCACTTGTATTCCAAATAGGTATAGAAAACGCATAAGTAGGTCCTCCACAGGTGTTTTCTTACCCTTCACCTGTAAATCCTATCATGAACGAAGCCGCTTGCTGATCCTACCTCAAAGCCTGAGGACAAGATGAGTTAGTCTCCTTTTCCAACAACAAGAATGAATGTAAAGCGTATCTTCTATGAAAAAATCCCAGAAAGCATGTGAATATGCTGAAACGATCATTGCATGCAACTGTTAAGAAGGCGCACAAGGAATGTCAGCGCATGATGTTACATCTGCGTTTCACTTCGAAGGAAATGTATTGCAGCGTATTATGGGGAAAATAACTATATAAAAATCTTTTTTCAACGAAAAGGCAACGAGCGAGTGGGAAGTGACCCCCCGCCCCTCTAACTCTACAACCGCGTGACATGCGTTTCATTGGATGCCGTGAAGGTCTTCGGCACAGATATAAAACCATAACATAATGTGACCACATGTTGTTCACATAGTTACCACCTAGCACGCATTCTTCTGTTCCAGAGGTCCACAACTATCTAGTTATTCATCTAAGCAGTTTCAAGCTTTTGGGAGCGGCCTACTTTTTTAAGAACTGTACTCTTTTAGAATTGATCTTTTCGCATAGTGTCTTAGAACATTTGTGTAAAGTTGGGGCAAATGCCGAAAACGTGTTTTGGTGCACAAGATTACTCCTTGTACACACCACTGCGCATTTCGTTGAGTGCCTCTTCCAGTGCCCTGCGAGACTCGTCATGAGTGGACAGAGCCACTGAGGACATCGAAGACACATTCTTTCCGCTCTCATCCATTTGACCTAAATTCAGAAAGTGCTAATCTGTGTCGAAGCCTGGTTGTTGAAAAATCCTTACCCTGCTCATGATATCCAACAGCCCACATGGAAAGAAGCGCAATGAGTGCGACAATTGTTCCCAGGTTAAGCTCAAAGATCCGATTGGCGGCGAAGAATACGGCTATAGAGCAGTAATGGGTGAGGCTCGCAAGAAACATGTATATGATGGAGACAAACCTGGCTCCAGGGCGACGAAGTCACCTACGCCGTAGTAGACCGCAACCAACTGTGTTCAATTGTTTACTGTTGCTCCTTCCGGTGCCCATAAATGAATGAATCTTACATTAGTGTAGAAAGTTACGCCGGAGGCCACAATGTATGCGCAGTTGAAGGAAACAATGCGGCATTGCACTTTGCGGCTGTCAGGGTCCGCTCTAATCTTGCGTAATACAAGACACGAGACCAGCACCAGGTATGCCAAATAAAGCAGTCCAGCGATCATCACGTTGCTCGTCAGGATCCCTGCCACACCATAGCGGTATGGCAACAGGCTGTATTATTGTTAGCCGTAATGATAGAAGTAGATGGAAAGTGTGCTTATTCAACTTGCCTTGAAAGGAAATGGTAGGAGAGATTCGCCATGACAATGCAGTACATTTTCATGCACGAACACCATGCAACCGGTTCCTGCCAGACGTGATGATCTACATATTCCCCTAGTTACGAGTAAAATGCAAACCCTACTCTTTCCATTCCTTGGAGGTGGGGAAGGTGATCCCGAACACTTCGCAGTTGCTCAACAGACTCCACAGATCTGAGCGCAAGCATCATGCCGACGAGACCGAAGATCAGAGCCAATGGGATGGCGATCAGCGCTCTCAGGCACAACACTGTGGTGCGATATTACCAATGAAGTCGAAAATAAATCGTGCAATTCGTACCATTTTGGAGGATCACTATGCCGGCAGAGTGGTAGACAAAGAAGGCTGTGCCAATAAGCATCTTTCCGACATTGGCAGTTGATCTCCTGTTTTTTAAATTGTCAGGAAGCGTTCGAGGAATTTTTGACTGTTGGTAGCGTACCCTCTGCGAATGCCTCTCAGAGCTCCAGGAACCTAGGTAAGCGAGATCATGATCTCGCCCATCGCAGAACCAAACGCAGCACTAGCTTACAAGGATGGAATAGACTAGCGCCTGAACGACCGCGTAAAGCGTGGACTGGTACGAGCCAGGAGCAACCTCAATGCTGAAGAAGGACGCCGACTTGTTGAACTTGGATTTGGGTGCAAGCGACACAAGCTGAACTCCAGAACTCTCAGTTAAAGGTTGATGACAGCTTTTTTCGGAACAATAGGAAGTACCGGCGCTACAGAAGCTGCTAATTCCGCGGCACGCGCTTCTGCCTGTAAAGCGGATATTCTTCAGCTCCAAAAAACGAGGTACGAAAGCCCTTACGATCTTCAACTGAGCATTCTCGTATGGCTTGACATCGAGCATGCTGATGGAGTCAGAGAATGGCTTGATCTGAAAAGATGTTCTTCCTTAGGCACTGAAAGCGACGACTAAAGAAAGTAATAAAATGCACCTGGTGAGTCATCGGAATGCCAACAAGAGCAGAAAGGCAGTCTTCAAGCTTAGGGGCACGAGGGAGGACGTATACATCTTCGGCTCTCCTGAATAAAATGAATTGATACAGCCTGTGGTCAGGTCAGGTAAGCCTATTTAATTACAGGTTCATTTCCTCGAGAGTCGTATGATGAGCTGATGTCACTCCAAACACGTGTGCAACTTCCGGAAGGAGGACATCAATGAACTCGGGTCCCTCCAATATGTCTATTGCTCCACTGCTCACAATGGAGCAAGCGGCAATGAGGGCCGCGCCGTAGGCTCTCATGGTGGCTAGATGAAATAGTGACTATTGAATATCCCCGGTTCTGAGCCCGGCAAACTATTCGCTCATGCAGCAATTCTAGTGCAGCGCGAATGACTGCACGTCCTCCAGGTTCATGGCAGGTGTCGATACACCTGACTAGTGTCAGTTTATCTAGCTACAGCTGACCTTGCGAACTCCCTAAATTTCCCTGATTTGAAAGTGAAAATACCTCCGTACTTGGATGCTCAGTGATATTAAATTAATTGTGGCCCCTAAATGTGTGAACGAGGACGACTCTACAATAGCTTTGATATGCAAAACATCACTTGCCTAGTCGAAAGCTCTGGCATCGACGTCAGAAGCAAAATGTTGCAGTGACCCGAGGACACAAAACTCTTTGTGTCAAAGGCCTCCAAACGTTTTTAAGATACTAAAACTAATTGAACGCAAATACGTTCGTTCCGTGCATTCCTAGCACGTTTCAGTCATTGCCGTCTGCTCTCGCTGAGAACATGCCAGCCAGAGGTCCGCCTTCTTGAGCGCCATTCAGCATTAACTTCTCAAGCAGTCGCCAAGTCTGACAAAAACAAAATAAGCCATGGACTGCTCTGAACCACACGAAGAAGGCGTAGTAGTGAATGCACCGCTGCAGACTTTCACCTGGGTTTGCATGACTGTACGAAGTGCCAAGGCTCACCCGTTTGTCAAATTCCTGCAAAAGTTCGCATCTTTGCTGCAAAAATACTATTTGATTCCGAGCCTCATTCAATGCAGCTTGCGCAGTACTGAGGGCGGCCTCTGATCTTGCATGCTTTTCCTCAAGATTGCGAATCTGTAGAATTGCATTTTCGAGTTTTTCCTCCATGGTTTCTTCATGATGCTGCGCACAGACACGTTCTGAATTCGAGCAAACATGTCAGTCTACAGTACTGCTTTTGGAAAATGAAAATTTTCACAGCATTAGGCGAGCAAAAGTTGGGCTTTGTAATGCGTAATTTTGCAGCAATAGACGAGCTAAACTTCTTGCACTATTTATTATCGTTGGGTGATTACTTTGGAGTACCTCCTTTTGAACACGGGCAACAGTCGTCGCCAACTTGAGCGATGCCGGGGAGAGGGACGAAGCGCAATGTCCACTGTTGGTGGCTGAAACACCCATAGAAAGTTTCACATTGTTCAGGCTTCCCCTTATCTGCTTCAGACTCTGTGACTCGACAACTATCAATATCTGTCGCCTTCGATGCGCGAGCACCAGAACATATCCAAAAGCGGGGCGAATATCGATATGCAGCTAGTCTCGACGTACCCACTTTGCTTGATATTATGCAGCTAGTTATGCGTTCAGCTTACTCTTTTCATTTGATGCTGTAGGCATATCAGATGGTTCAGTGGTCGGGTCCTTTTGTGTGTCGTTCAGTGAAATCTTCCTACACACGAAGAGATCAGCCTTAAAAGTACACGAACACTGTTGGGTAAAGCCTCACGCTATCGTACCAGTGGTGCATGAGAAAACCTTGCACAATTCGAATGTACTATCCTTGTGGAACTTGCCCGGAACCGGCAACACTAGCTTAAGTTACGCCGCCCTTCCACTTAGCGTAAGCTGCCGAAAAGTAAATTTTCTGTAGAATGTATTTGAACTAATGTCTGGTGAAGGCCTTCGGCGATGCTTACCCTTCGCCGGCACAGAGCCTTTCACACTGCGTCCAGTGGGCTACAGTTGGTCAAAGCAAAGAAAGCACCAAGAAATGCATTTGCATGGAGACTTGAAGTAAGGTTCTGCTGAGGCAAAATGAAGTTTACAATCGCAGAATTTATGTTCGCTGTAGTACGCACTGGATGAGGGCTCTATTCTCCTTCCTAACGGCGTCTAGCTCCTGACAAATCTGAAGGACAACACACAGTACATTGAAATGGAACAAATACTGCACATTTTCAGCTCAAAATCAATATGAAAGAGCGCCTGATGTTCATGAATAGGCGCATTTGAAAGAATTCTGTGTTATCTAATACCTCTTCAAAAGCATTCTGTAGGAAGTCTATTTTAGACGACAATTCTGCGCACGGAACAAGCACAGCGCTACCGATCAGTGTGAGAAACACAAATACAATTCACACAATGTGGCTAACTGCACATAATGATAAAGATCGGGAGGCATGTCAGTTTTGTTCGAAAACATTTCACGGTCCGTAGTCACCTAATCGACGAATTAGAAGCAAACGGGAAACTGGTACGCGCCGCTCCCTCAATTTTCACCCCACCTCCTTCTAGCTTCCAGCTGGAAGCTGCGCCGGCATGAATCAAAATTCTTACCATCTTGCATTTCTAGGACGTCTGAAGTTTCCGCTTCCGCTTCAACCATGGCCTGTGTTTGTACCTGCAGTATAAACCCATCCACAGCTACGCCTCGTTGCTGCCCTTAGGTGCAGAAGAGGGAGCACCATCCACACTGAGAAAGCACTTCACACATGTCTAATCCAATGCACGCTGCAAGGCAATTGCCTTGGGCAGTGCTTACCAATAGAGCCTTAAAGAACAGTTCCGCCTGGAACTGCACTCGCAAAAGCAAAGTTTGCAGATGGGTGCACGGCCTTTTAGTTTTGCTGAGTAGTAGATGAGTAGCAAACTATCACAAGTAAAAGCAGGTCCTTGAAAGCTGCCTGCCTAGTGGCCACACGGTGCTGCGAAAAAGACCGGTCCTCACTCTAGTGCCGCTATGTGGATCCGATGAGTCCGTCGGATCGCCCCCTTCGCCTGCGCCATCTACTACCTTCCGTTCTTGGTCTACTGCTGTTGTAAAGTGAATGCTTCGGGTATTTTTGCGGGTTTCGACGGGTCCCCTTCCGTCCTCCTCAGCTTTATGCTTGCCTTCACTAGCTACTGACGCCGCCATGCAGTCATTATACTGCTCCGTTTGCGCGACATTTTTGCCAAGCCACCAGCTATTTAAGTCTAGGTATGCTGCGGCGTTTCCCAGAAGGTTCTTAGAGCGAGATGTCTCAGAGCATCTAGACGGCCTCAATTCATTTCGTCGCGGATCTGCAGCACTGGTGGCACTGCAAGACTTTTCAGGAGCCTCCGGCGGCAACCCAATAGGGACAGTGTCTTCGTTCGATTCATCATCGGAAAGTGACAGTCCTGGCTCTACAGTTAGCTCCTGCTTCACTGGACTGTCGCCTTCCGCAGCCCCTGATTGTTGTAGACATGAATGTGGACTGCTTGCACTTTGAGAAGTTGCTGCCAGTGCTTCCTCTTCACGCGGTGCATCGGCCGGCGCTGTGCTCTCCATCTCTTCTGCTCCGTCAATTTCTTCAGTGGAGAGTCGGTTCGGGCTTTGGGTTTCTCTCCACGTAACGCGCTTCAGCGAGAGCTCTTCAGCTTCGCCGCAGCCGCTTCCTTTTGGGGCCTTTCGAGAGTTCTTTCTTGACCCCCTGCTGGTCCCACTAACGCTACAATGCACTCCAATGCCGCTCCTGTCCTCAGGGTCGCTACAGTCGCTGCTCTCTGGCTGCAGTCGCTGAGCTGCGAAAGCTTCTGCCTGCGGCTCACTCGCTGTGCACGAGTTCGCCGGCTGGCGAGAGATTCCGTTCCCCACTGTTCTGAATTGTACTGGGACTGACGCGCTTTGGTGGACACCAAAGGAGGAGGGGCCGCCGCTTGGCTGTGAGGCAGACCGTGAAGCGACGATTTCCTTGGAAAGGTGAAACTTTTCTTTTAGCACGAAGGACAAATCGGACTCGCGCTGAGCAACTGCACCCTCAAGGGAACGAATCAACTCCTCGCGGTGCTTCAAAACGCTTTGAAGCTCCTGTAACTGCAGCCGGACGAATTCGCAAGGAACGCCGTTCTGCTTGCCTTTGCCTATTTAGATGAAACAAGCGGTGCTAAAATCTGCAACTTATCGCAAATGCGTGTATTTCTATAGCTCCCCACCTACTATCTTTCGCAAGGCCATGTGGTGGAGTGATTCTATTGGCTACGAGCTAGACGAGATGTAGGGGGACCCATACTGCTGCTTGGGCATAACACTTTGGTTACCTTCCTCTCAGATGTAGATGGGGAGGCAGTTGAATTTAGTTCTTGCTGCTTATGCCGTAGCACCGTTCCACCTCCCACCGACTGCACGGGTCCGTTTCTGTATTGAACATGAATAACTCCAGGATATTCACGGGCCTGCTTAGAAAGCCGGGTACGTTTACTTAGAAGAGTTACACGTTCCGCAATGTACATTTATTGTTAGACTATATAAGGCTTCGCAACGGAACGGTCTGAACGGAACAGTCTGCCTGCGAGCGGCTTCAATGCTGGTGCCTGGCTTACTGAGTTTTTCGTTCGAAGTTCCGCAGTATCTCCTTCACGCTGCCACTTTGCATATTCAAAAGAGTTGCCCGTGTGTTTGTATCATTAGATCGGACGGCGCCTCCGTAGCCACAGCCAGTCTCGGTTTCAGTCGGCTGCTGTTGCATCTTTTCCGAAGCGAGAAGCAACAGTCCACAGACCTTCCAGCAAGTAACAATCGAGATGAGGCGGCCATAAATGGATACGCTAAAAGACCTACTAAATATTAAAGAACTTTTTGCGAGATATCTCTGCGATCACTGCCGGTGTGTGGCTGAGCAGGCAATCTTGACCAGGTTTGACCTCTGCCGGTCTGCTCAGCTGCAGGGAGATTTTCGGCAGAAAGCGGAGTGAAAACTGAGCACTCATACATCAAAAGACGTACTTAATTATTTGCTCAATAAATGGAAGGGAAGAATACGTGAGCGTGAAGAGAGATACCCGCAAGACACACAAAGGCCCATCATCAGAAGCCTCTTTCATAGTTCGTTTCCCAATTGGTTCAAGTGAGCACTAGCCTTAATCGATCAAGAACAAGGCCATTACTAGGGCTTTCTTACAGTAGAAGCGAGGTTTAATTTTTTGCCACTTAACTCAGAAGTAATGCTTTGAGAATATCTCGCAATGGCGTATCCTTCAGCTGAAATGGTGAGGACTGAAAGCAAACTTGAAGTATTGCTTCAGTCGGCTGTGTACCGGTACGAATGAATGAGATCAGTGGTTCCTCTTGGAAGTACAATTAACGTAAATGAGTTGATGTTCAACATCCAAACACTGATATTAAAAGCTTAACTAGTAACAGCAACAAATGGAACAACGCCAACGGGATTAGCAGGAACAACAGCAACCACCACTCAGTACCTTCTTGGGACTGGGCCCCTAGATTACCTTACGTTTCTTGGTGCTCCCATAGAAATATGAATTGTTAATATCAAAAAGTCGAATTTACAGTGCTCGTATGACTTACTGCGGAAACAGGATAGGGAAAATTCGTCTTTTCGTCGGGGCTTTACTCACTAGATGGGAGGAACTTCATGAAAGATCAGAAAGCGCAGCTCCATCTGCACTAGTTACTGCCTCACATTCCCAGAGTAAACGATTTATATGATATGCGAAATCCTGGAAAGATCTCTATCAACGAAAACCGGCCGCAGATCACCAAGGCCTTAGATTGCTCCCCGTGCCAATTCCAGCTCCCCCATCCTGTCAATTCAGAGCAGTCTTCCAAGATGTTTATCTTTATGCGGGCTGGATTTCTTTCATGACAATACATATTGTATTGTAAGAGCACCATGGCTCAGTTCTCCTCCTGTGCAGCCACACATCCACTCGCCGCCTGTAGCCAGTAGCTCTTCGCTGGTCGACGAAGTGCACGGCCAACCCCCAGATATCTGATGCTCTCTTCGAGACCCCGTCAGATTTGATATCTCTAGCATTTTTACTCTAATTTGCAGCAGCTAAATGGCGGATTCCCTCCGCATCGCTGGCGCAGCCAGCAGCGGGGGCCCGCCAGCAGCTGCAGCGTACGCCGGCGGCTGCTGCTTTTCTGCGAGCCGGCCCAGCGAGGACAGCCACGATGAGGGCCCCCAGCTGTTTGCTGCTGGCGAGGGAGAGGATGGTGGGGCCCCTTGTGGGGCCCCTGGGGAGGAAGGGGGGGGGGACAGCGCCTTCAAGATCTTGATTGCCACTGACACCCACCTGGGCTTCAAGGGGGAGGACCCAGTGCGCGGCAACGACAGCTTCCGAACTTTCGAAGAAGTCCTGCAAATTGGCCGCAGAGAGAAGGTGGACTTTGTCTTACATGCGGGGGACCTCTTCGACGAAAACAAACCCAACAGAACCACTTTGTAAGCGCCGCGAAGCCAGCAATAACAGCCCGGTGGCGCTGCGGCAGCAAAAGGGCAGTCCTGCTGCAGCAGATGAGCAGCACTTCGTGGGGAGGCGCGCGGAGTGTGTGGGGTGGCCCCAGCTCTCTATATCCAGTGGCTGTTCAGGTGCTAGCTTGCTGCTGAGGGAAAGCAGCAGCAGCTGCTCCTTTGGGGCTCTTTAGTTTCCCTCTGCCGCTTTTGCTGCTACTTCTGCTGCTGTGCTAAGGTACCGGACAATGTGTCTGCTGCGCAAGTACTGCTTCGGCTCGGGCTCTGTTCTCTTCGACGTTTTGTCAACTACTACAGCTGCCCCTGCCCCCAACGGCGAGCTCGAAGCAACGCAGCAAGCAGCAGCAGCCGGGAGCAGCACTGCGTTGGCCGCATCGGCCCAAAACAGCAGCAGCAGCAGCAACAGCAGCAGCAGCAGCAGCGGTGGAGGCTTCCAGACAGTTCAAGAGACCCTCCAGATGAATGGCGCAGCAAGGGACCCTCTTCAAGAGCAGACGCCAGGCATATTTCGTTTTGGACTTAATTACTTGAGTGAAAACGTCAATGTGTGCATGCCTGTCTTTGCCATGCACGGAAACCATGGTGCGGCAAGCCCCCACTAGCTGCATCTGCACTGGGGTTGCTGCTGTTTACTGAGCTGCTGCTGCTGGTTGTGCTGCTGTTCGCTAAGTACTTTTGTCAGACTCGGTTCGTCTTTGTTTTGTGGCGGTGGCTGCTCTCGTGGGGTGTTCGTACACCGCAAATAATTACAACTGGTAGTGTAGCTCGTTGGGGTCACTTTTGTTGTTGTGCTTGGGCCGCTGCAGACGACCCTGGCGACGCCTCTCACTTATCTCCCCTCGACATATTAGAAGCCGCACATCTCGTGAGCTTCCATTTTGTTTCTCTCAACTGCACAGACACCCGGCGATATTGATGGCTGGTGCTGGGACAGCGGAGTTGCGAGCTGGGAGCACATACGTACTTGTTGAAAGACATGAATTAAAAATGATATTAAATGCCTCATTAAAATGTTTCGCCTTTTCACTCACTCGAGGCAGAACAGAAGTGCAAGTGACAAGCTCCAGGCGGTGCCTATGTCTCTTGTATTAGAGTGCATGCGCGCATGCGATGAGTGCAGCTGCTGCGGGAGTTTTTAATTTCAGATAAATTATTTTGGCCGAGTTGATAACGTTGAAGATATACGCGTGAGGCCTATTCTGCTGAAAAAAGGCGACTCGAAGGCAAGCAACTACATATTTCATCTGCCTGCTTTATTTGTCCTTTTTGCCCCTTTTTGTTCCTAACTTGGGGAGTTGCTTTTTTAGTTAGTTCATGCCTTTGCTTCGTTTGGATGCCTGAGCAGCTAGCCAGTAAAGCAAGCGGACAATTGCTTCCACAGGCTTTACTTCAAGCGCTGCCTACTCAGCTGTGCAGGAAATGGTTGCATCCAAGGCCTGCTCCCAATAAGTGCCACGCATATACTGTGTGCGTGGTCTGCATGCATTGCGTACATTGCCTGCATGCGTTGTCTGCGTCTGTGGAAGCACTACAGGCATTACCTGCATGCACGCAAGTGGTGCATGCATTGTTTGTATGCATGCAACACGTGCTTGCACTATGTGTATGCCTGCATGTAGCACTTGGACTGTGTGCATGCATGCATGCAGCGTAGGCAGTGTGTGCATGCATCCCTGCATGCATGCTGGTGTCACTGTTCAGCTGGCGATATATGGAATGGGATGGGTCAGAGACGAGCGCCTGCATCGCGCGTACATGAGCGGCAAAGTTCGTCTCCACTCCAACTTTTAAACCCTCAGCCCTTGACCCTAAACCCTCTCCCGTAAACCCTAAACCCTAGAAACAGCGTGTGCTGCCTAGCCACCGCAGCAATGGCTGTTTGTTTTCTTTTTCTGGTTTGTCTCGTTTTTTTGCTGATGTCTTCTGCTGGAGGGTGTGTGGGGAGGTTCAGCTCTTCCGTGGGAGCTCTTTCTTTTCAAACTATAAAGTAAAATAAATCAAAGTCGCAGAATCATCACTCTCTAACTTTTGCCTCAGTGTAATTTCCGAAATCATAAATTCTGTTTTTGCGCCTCTTCAGGTCACCTATGAGGTCCCCGCAGAGGGCGACGTGAACAGTTGGTTCAACATTCTTCTTGTTCACCAGAACATGTCAGCAACCTTCAAACCCTAAACCCCAAACCCTAAACCCTCGGCGACAATCTTATTGCCTTTTTAATTCTCTACGAGATATCTGGGAGCTGCGCTTTACCTGTAGCTCGTCGGTTCCAGTGATTCCCAGTTGCACTGAGTGGCACGTTGTGGTGCGAAAAACTGAAGGGGAGGGCTATCCCTGAGGGATCTTTGGGTTTCAGGCTTTAGGGCTTTTAGTCTAGATTATAGATTTCCAAGGACCAGTTGTGTACTAGTTTACGCCGCCTGGCTCGGCTCGTTCACATTTCTCTGATTACAGGGTTTAGTCCTGGTGTTTCGGGCTTAGCGTGTGTTGCTGCATTTACTCGGCTGCTTTCTGCAGGTACAAGGGGGCTCACGGAGGTGTTCCCGCAAAGAACTGCATATTGGAAAGAATGTTGCCGTCGTTTGCAGACATAGTCGTTTGGGTGTGCCTTGTGTGAGGTTTATGACGCCGCGGCGACTCGGCGTTGCCTGTGCAGCATCCACCCCTTTTCCGCACTTTCCGTTTTAGTTTGGCTGGCAAAAAGGGTAAGAAATATTGAAATCGAGGTGCGCATTCTGTGGAAATTCAAAAGGTGCTGTTTCTGCTGCTGCAGGGCCACGAACACGACTGCCACACGGAACTGCGCCAGTCCGTAGAAGGTCGCTGCCAAGTGCTGCAACCAGGCTCTTCCATCGCCACTTCTCTGACTGCTGGGGAGGCTCTGCAGAAGCACGTTTTTATTCTTGAAGTCAAGTGAGGCTGCAGCCTCACAACTTTGCTGCTGTTGCTGTTCTTGGTGCTGCGCTGGCTGCAGTTCTTGGCGGTGTTGCCTTTGTTGATGGTTGCCGTATCAATGCATTTTGCTTGTTATTTTTATTATTGGACTTTTATTTTGTTGCTGCTGTTGTGTATGGACACGTGCTGGTGCATTTGCATTGGTTGTTTTGTAGGTCATTCGTTGTTCGCCTGATAAATTATTTGCACTGCGTTTCTCTGTTGCCCTCTGCTGCCGTGCGCGCCCCTCTGTTCTGCTCTATTTCTTTTGTGATAAAATTTTTCTGCATTTCAAGTCCAGGTGTCTTTTTTCTTCGTCTCTTCGCCAGCCTTTCATCTCCCGCTAGCGAGCAGCAGCTGCCCAGCAGCTTAACACCAGCAAGTTCAATAAGCAAGAAGAAATTATGAAAGCTGCACATTTACTTGAACACAAGATGCAAGAGAATTTGCCTCTTCCTCTCTTGTGCACAGGGGTGACTGCTTCCGCCTTCAGCCCGTGCCGCTGCTCACCGTGCGGCCGCTGCTAGTGGAAGATGTTTGTCTTGCTGATTTGTGCAAAGGGGGCCCTTCTCTTTCTTTGCCTCAGAACGGGGGGCCCCCCACCCCTCTAGGGGGCCCCTCTGAGGCTTCAGCCGACAGGCAGGCCTGGGAGGCCCTCACGGGAGTAGTGGAAGGCATACTGAGCCGGTACATGCACACCTACAAAGTAGACCTAAACCAAGCAGCAAATGTCTTTCTCTCGCAGCAGCAGCAGCAGCAGCAGCAACAGCAGCAGCAGCAACAGCAGCAGCAGCTGGAGGGTCGTACTTCGCGTCGGAAGCAGTCCTACCAGTTGTTTTGCAACTACAAGTCGGGGGCGACCCAAGACATCGCCTCTCTGCCCCGCATATGCTCCGGGGGGCCTATTATGGAGGCTCTGGGTCTCAACATCAGCAGCAGCAACAGTGAGCTGCTGCAGCAGCTGCCGCTGGTCCGTGTGCGCGTAGAGCACTCAGGCCACAGCACCATCAGCGCCCCCCGATTCGCGTCTCAGTTCGTGGGGCGCGTGGCAAATCCTGACAGCCTGTTGTGCTTTTACAAGAAGAGGGGAGGCCATCTTCAGTGAGCAGCAGCACTGCGGCGCTTATATAATACGCTATTTAATAGATATGAGCAATAACCAGCTTAAGGCACAAATGATAGCCCTTGCACTCGGGTGTACAGACTCCTTTAAACCAGCAGCGACAATGGCACACAAAGACAAATCAGATAAAAGAAGCAGTCCACCAAACATAAATGTGAACCGCTGTAGCAATCAAGATGCCTTCAAATTGCGTGCATGCAAATGTAACGTGCCTGCATGCGTGCCTATATTATATATGTATATGCACATGTGCATTATATATATATATATATATATATATATATATATACTTATATACATACATTTGTGTGCATACATACATACACGTACATATTGGGCCCATATGCCTATTTGTGTCCTTATGAAAATGTTCATACCTGTCCCTTCGTATTGAATTCGTTCATTCACGAGCACTCAGCTGAATATCCCTGGAGGACCCCATACATGAATCATAAATTCACAGACAAAAGCAATGATTTATGTGTGAATGCGTGGCCGGCTGTACATAAAAATGCATATTTGTACTTATATCGTGTTAGTATATGTATACACACACCAGTTGTATATATATGTATATATATATGCCACTTTTTGTGTGTGCCTGCGTGCTGTTGTGCATGCGTCTTTTCAAGCAGGTCCTCTTCTGAGGGCTCCTTTATTCCTGAGTTGGAATTAGAGTCAGCGACCGGAGGAGGCCCTTCAGACATCCACGACATTGTGCGCTAGTGTACATACACCCCGGGAGGGCTGGGGCTGCTGGCTCTCTTTTGCTGGGGAACTGCAGCAACATTGTTGCTGCAATGCGTTTGTTGCTGCTGATGCTGCTGCGTCTGTTGCGGGCTTTGTTCTCGCTGCCGTTGCCTCTCTGGGGTTGCTTTGTGCTGTTCTGTCCTTCTTTTTTTACCCCCTTGTATTTATTCCACTTGTATTTATTTTCCAGAGGGCATTTAATGTTTGTTTAGTGTCCTGAACACCTTTGGTGCCTTGGTAGAATGCTGCCTCTCTTTCTGTGGCGCTGCTTTGTGCATCAGAAATGCGAGTTTGAATGGCTGCTGAACTGGCAGGCCCAGCAGCTGGTTCATTTTCCAATTATTCTGAGATATAGTCTTATTTGTTTTTATGTTTGCTTGCTCGTCTTCTTTGCCACAGATATTTCACTACCTCGAAGACTCGAGCGGCCTTAGCGTCTTATCAGAGCCAGACTTCAACGATGCTGTGCAGCAGTTTGCCGTCAAGATGGTACCTACTGCTGCTGCTGCTGCTGCTGCTGCTGCCATTCCCGCTGCTGCTGCTGTTGCTGTTGCTGTTGCATAAAAGATTGAAGCCTGCGTTATTGTCTATTTTTCGTCTTCTTAATAGGCAAAATGACTGAATTCATAAACTGAATCCATAAATTTTTTGCACTTTCATTTTTCCGCCTGCTAACAATGTAACTGGATAGAGATGCGACCGGTGGGAACATCTGCTTTTATCCTTTTGTGGAAACACCAGTCTACGCTTAATGCACAGGAATAATTTGATCTTTCATTGTATTAGGATTACATATGTATATTTGTTCATTAATTTGTTCATATGCCTTTAAGCGCGTGCACACTGCATGCATATTCATGCTTTCAAGTAGGAGGGCCACAAAAATGCTTGGAGGAACTGTTTCTAAATGTATGCATGTGTATATTTGCATGCACAGTTAAACTGGTATATTCATTTACATATATATTCGCAATTTGTGCTGTGTCAGGACCCCTCAGCCATATCTTCCTTCGTTAACCGAAGCATTGCTGCTGCTCGCGTACATGCAAGGGAACAGCTGATGAAACAACTCAAGGAAAATAAAAACACAAACCCATCTAAAGAGCTTGTCAGGAGCATTATCACTGTAAGCGTGCTGCTGTTGCTGCTGCTGCCCTTTCTGCGGCTGCTGCTGCACCTGCTGCTGCTGCGACGAAGGTTCATTTGCCGAGGCGATTAGATGGTAGGTTGCATGCTTACCTAGCTGGTTGCTTTATGGTTTGTGTGTTTTTCAATTTGTGAATATTTTTTTGCTTGCTTTGCAATTCGTTTCAGGAGTTTACCCAGGCTGCTCGCATGCGCAGACTAGATGAAACGGTGGGTTTTCAAGACTCGCGCAGCCTAGGACACAGTTTTCATTTCATCAAAGACGAAGTCTTTTTTTGTTTCCTCGAGTAGATTTTTCGTTTTCCGGCTTTCTTATTACTGCTGCAGTAGCGCCGTCATATGTTTCATTGTTGCTGCCCGCTGCAGGAAGGAGGACAGCCACCGGAACAGACGCAAGCAGCAGCAGCTGCAGCACCTGATCCACCAGCAGCAGAAGCAGCAGCAGCAGCAGCAGCAACGCAGGCCGACGAATTCTTGCAGGAGCTTCCCGTGGTCGACCTGAGCTGCGAAAAAGAGACAGAGACTGCAGACATGCCGAGGGCTCCTTCTAGGGGGTCCTCTAGGAGGCCCAAGAGAGGGGCTCAGGACAAAGCAGGAGCAGGAGCAGCAGCAGCAGCAGCAGGAGAAACTTCAGCAACAAGAGGCCGAGGGCGCCGCGGGCGAGGAGCCCAGAGCCGAAGAAATGTAGCAGAGACAGTTGTCAGTGATAGCGATGAGGCTAAGGAAGAGGTAAGCTAACAAACCCTAGACCCCAAACCCTAAACCCTAAGCAGAGGAAACCGATCTTATAGCTTCAATGGGCCGCAGGCGCCTCAGCCGGTTTGTCTTTGCGCTGCCGCTGATGCAGCTGCGGTTACTGTCGTTGTTGCTGCTGCTGCTGCTGCTGTGGTTACTGTTGCTGCTGCTGCTGCTGCGTTACAGAGTGTAGCTGCTCGCTCGAGGAAAGGAAGGGGGGCCCCTTGCGTAGAAGAAACTCCGTCAACTCAAAGTTCAAAGCAAAGAGATATTCGGTCACTCCTATCGCAGCTAGTACGTTTTCTTTCTCTCTATCTTCACTTTTACGTCCTTTCCTTTTCTTCGTTGCCGTCTCCCGATATGTTTTATCCTTCTTGAAAAGTGCATGCACGGAGGTTCTCTCTGCTGCCTAGGGTTTAGGGTTTAGGGTTTAAAGTTTGAAGTGTTTGCGTCTCAGTCCGAAAGAAGAGGCATCCGCTCGCAAGCTTCATTACAGCCTCCGGCGCACTCTCATCTCCCACCAGATGTGCCCACACAGCAAAGCGACGCCACACAAATCGATTCCATAGAACAAACCCAAGGGGGACCCCTAGGGGGCCCCCTAGGGAGCCCCCTAGGGCCCTCGCAACCGGGCCTCCAGGGGGGATTTCAACGCCCTTTCAAAAGGCCCAGCCCCTTCCGCCCTGCCTTGCCTCTTGGGTTCAACGCAGGGGGTGGGGGGCCCCCTGTTGGGGCCCCCTCAAATGGAGGTCCCCAAGTGGGGGGCCCCGTAGATCTGGGTGGCGCTCCCAGTGGATTTGCTTGGACTAAAAGGCAAAGACAAGGTGGCGACTTAGAATTTGGAGCTGGAGACAGCCAGATGACGTTCGAGAGAGGAGTGATATGCAGAGTAAGTTGATTAGCTTTATGAGTTATTTGAATGGTGGCAATGCAAAATATGTTACTTGTTTTAATATGCTAGGTGTAGGCGGGTTTGCATCTTTGATTGCATTAATTGCTCCTGTTACTACTTGATCGCAGTGGCGTTTACTATCAACTTTGTCTCATTTTATTTCCCTTTGTTTGGCTGCGTTTCACAACAGGGCAACGAAGAGGCGACGCAGCGACAAGACAACAGAACCATCAACTGGAAGAGACGCTAAATGTTTATTTACCACTCAAGTATTCATCTGTTTTTTAGTATTAACTTCTTTGCTAGGCTTTAGTGCAGTTCAAACCAAACGCACCAGCAAAAAGAGCTGTGTTGAGCCTGCCTGCGTCTGTTTGACTTCTTTTTGTTTTTCTTCGCGCTTTTCCTTGTTCATTTTTTGCCGTTTATAACAATTATCTGGTGGACGGAACAGTAATGGTAAAAAAGTGCAACGGGGATTAAGCAGAGAGAAAGTAAAATGAAAACGAGGTCTCCGAGCTTAGGAGTCGAAAATGCATCTTCCCTGTCAAAAATTACTGCCCTTATTTCAAAAGTGTTCACTTTTTCCATTTGTAAATACTATGAAAGCTCAGATGAAAACACCCCGGTGCTCAACCGAAAGCCACGCGGTGCTGAACGGTGCTCCTCGAAAGGACCATAGTCGCTTGCTATGCAACAATGCATTCAAATAAGAGCTCGCTATTTAGGATGTCATATTTTCAATTTTAAAGGAAAAAGGCAACAAATAGATTTCAGCATTGTTGCCCACCGCCCTCAGCATCCCAGGCAGTTGATCCCACAGAAGGGCTTCCTACATTCGCTTCTTGCAGCTATTATATTAAATACTGAGGGCAGGCTCTTTCTGCTGTTCTTTTGGCTTCCTAACACGCTTCGGGACGGGCTCTTAGTGGTGGAAAGTAGTTCTATTTTAGCTCATTTTGGAGCTCTCGGCTCTCCTTCGCCCCCGCTAGAGGTCTGGGGTGTCTTCTCGTCACTTGTGTTGGCTGCTGTTGCCCCAACCCTGTCTATAGCAGCACACTGGCAACATTAGTGTTTTTCTTTGTTTCATTTGCGGGACTCAGTTGGCTGCAAGCCCGTGATACACCAGCACAGTCACAACACTTGCCCACTAGCCCCCGCCCACAACGGGTGTTTCGGCAGTTTAGCCGCGATGAAGCAGCTTGAAGCTTCATTAACCTTATAGTCCTGGAACATTACAGAAGAAAACTCCAAAGCTTCAACCCTGATGCTGTCTACCGGGAGCCCCAGCACCCTTTATGAAGGTTCCTTACACATCCAGGCTTTAATCGAAGAGTGCGGCAAGATTTAGTGCTATGAATTGTTAGGGTGAAGAATCATTTGCGTTTAGGGGTCGTTTGGTCTAAGGGTGTGGTGCTGGCCTTCTTGAATAGTGCAATGGCGCACAGGTCCCCATGCCGGTCCAGTGAAGGCCAGTGAGTCCATTTTAACTCCCTGCTGCTGTATTTTGAATAAAAAAGTAGAACTTCATTTGTTCCCTGCTTTCACTATTGCTCTGGTGCTCAGGGCTTTGGGTTTTTGGCTTACTGGCCGCAGCAACGGCTGCAGAACAAGCAGAGGGAACCTCAAGAGCAATGCAATAAATACACTTGGATGAGAGCAAATGGAATTATCTACGCAAGCTCCCCTATATAAACGGTCAAGCTGGTCTTATTCTTCCTATGAATGCTAAAACGCAAAATATTCGTAGTTTTTTGAGTGCCGATATAACACCTGAGGTCGCCGTGTAGGGGCGCGCCTCCACCCCTGCGCAGCCAACCCCTTTTGGCTCCTTCGTTGTTTCCTAATGACTGACGTTTTTATTTCCCACCTTCAACTTAATTAAAATGAATTAAATCTCTGGCGAAAAGTGGTGCAACAAAACTGGCAGTGTGGGGCGCCGCAGCTGGCGCGGGAGGGATGTTGCAACTAAAGTGAGTAATTCGATCTTCAGTGATTCTTTCGTGAATACAAAAACTTCGACATATTTTATGTATGGAAACAATTAGATGAGCCGATTTTTTGCCAAAAGAACACCCGTACGCCGATCCTGACCCTGCATTCAGTGCGCGTAGTCTGGGGCTGGCGCTGCTGAACGTGGTTGCTGCTGCTGGACTTTGTTTTTGTGAGGGCGTGAATTGTGAGTGGAATTTTGGTTTTTTGCCGAGGTGTGGGTACACCTGAGAAGTTGGGTTGAGCCTGTGCCGGGTATGAGGGTCTCAGTCGATAATTTTATACACATTCAGGTTTCTGACCGTAGGCGTTTGAGCTGCTGCTCTTCCCGTGTTTGCCGCCATAGTGACTAGTAAAGAGTAATGGATAGAAATTACTTTTTAGTTTCTTTACGTAAACGCAGACAGAGCCAGCCTGGCTAGCGCACTTTGGGCCGCGGTTGTTCGTTCGTATATGTTCCTCTTTCCTGTTCTTGCTGCTTCTGCCGCTGTCTTTGCGTCTCATTTTTTTCGCCCCTTTCCTTTTCTCCTTACTTATTCTCCTCTTTCCGAGATGAACACCTATTCAAACCTTCGCGCGTAGTCATGATGCGCAATTAGCAAGGCTTACACAGAGCCATCTGTGCGCATCTCCCACATATGCACGTTTGGGTTTATATACAAACTTGAACTCATTGGTATTCCACTTCTACTTCATCAAATGAGTCCCTCGGCCCTCCACAGCCCCTCTCAAGACCCCGCAGGCCTTTCTTTCTTTTCCCTCTTCAATTCTTCATCGCCTCCACTCACCAGCTCCGCAGGGCGCCCCCCGGAGGCCCCGGGGCCCCCCCAGCCCCTAGGGCTTGCCCACAAGGGTTCGGGGGGCCCCTCTACTCAAGTCCCGGGGGCCCCTCACCAGGCTTCCGAGCCCCTGCCCCAGAGCACTTTAGTCCCCCCTGGGGGCCCCCAGGGCCCCCAGGGGGGCCCCCCAGGACCCGTATCTGCGGGGGCCCCCAGCGCCCCGTCTTCCTACGAGGGCTCCTGCTCTTGTGGGCGCTCGGCAGTGAACTCCTGCTGCTGCTGCCCTGCAGCAACAGCAGCAGCAGCAGCAGCATTTTCGTACGAAAGCCTCGAGTGGGAAGAATGGCGCGGGGACTGGCCGCTGCTGCTGCATGCCTCTGCTGGCAGCTGCGCAGGGGTGATGGAGCACGTGGCTATGTACCCCATAGACACAGTGAAGACTCGCATGCAGGCCTACAGAGGCGCAGCAGCAGCAGCAGCAGCAGACGCCCCCGCAGCAGCAGCAGCTGCAGCAGCAGCAGCAGAGCCGCCTCACTGCCATCACCGGCGGGCGCCCCCTAGCCCCAGTTGCCAGGCCCCCTTCGCCTCTCCGCGATGTACAGAGAGCTGCAGCAGCAGCAGCAGAGCCATACAAAAGGCAGCAGCAGCAGCAGCGCAGCCGCCCTCGCGGCTGTCGCTCTCTCATTCTCTGCTCCACTCTTCTCAGATGCACTCTGCTGCTGCGCTGCCGCATATATCAAGAGCCACGCAGCACAAGTTTATATACCCAACAATGCATTCAACAAGCACAGCAGCACGCGCAGCGAGGGGCCCCTGGGGAGCCCCCCTGGGGGCCCTCTCAGGGGCCCCCGTGGGGGCCTCTGGGGGGGCCCTCTTTGGGGGCCCCTGTTCAGTGCCAGCAGTGACTCAGGCGTCGCCACTAAGGCTTCCGTTGGGGTATATGCGGAGCCCCGGCATGCTGCTGCTGCAGCAGCAGAAGCAAGCAGCAGCAGCAGCAGCAGTCAGGGGCGGGCTCAGCGGGGCGTGGCGGTGCGGCCTGAGCGTTCCGGGCGCTGAAGCAGCAGCAGCAGCAGGGCTGCGAGCAGCGTCAGGGGCCCCCCTGAGCGGGGCTGCTGCTGCAGCTGGGGGCCCCCCAAGCAGTACCCTCCCGGGCAGGGGCCCCCACGCGGGGTCCGCCAACTCCCGCGCGGGGGGCGGGGCCTGGGGCCTCATTTCCTGCCTAAGATCAGTTTATGCTGAGGGGGGGCTCAGGAGTTTGTACAGAGGCGCTGGGGCTGTGGTGCTGGGGTGTGTGCCGGCCCACGCCTGTTACTTCACTTCTTACGAGCTCACGAAGCGGAAAATGAAGGAAAGGGCTTATCAGAAGCAGCAGCTGCGGCGGCAGCAGCAGCAAGAAGGCGCAGCAGCAGCAGCAGCAGCAGCAGCAGGTGCTGGCTGCTGCGCGGCGCCGGCGGGCGGCGGCTCCTCGCTGTGCCTGTGCCCCGTGTGCCTGGGCAAAAGAGAAGCGCTGCAGCACCAAGATAGAGCAGCACCAGCAGCAGCACCAGAGGGCCTCTCCGGGCTGCAGCTGCTGCTCTGCGGCGTTGGCGCCACCCTTAGCCACGACCTGATCTTGACTCCTGTGGACGTGCTCAAGCAGCGCATGCAGCTGGGTTGTTTTAAGTGCGTTTGAATTGGTTTTACTTAATTTGTTTCTTTTTATTTGTTTCTTGGTAGTTTAACAACTAATAGTAATTGTTATTAGGCGTGCGTGTAGCGGCTTCCTGCTCAGCAGCTACTTCTGCATTTCTTTTTCAAGTTTATGTTTGCCACTTGTCTGGATCAACTCGCCCACTCATTCAATTCCCTTTTTTACATTCTTCATTTCGAATATTCCTGTGTGTCTACTTCGTCTTGAGCCTTTCCCTTTTGCTGTTAAACCTGCGCTTTCTGTTTTTCTAGCTGTCACTTTTTGAATTCAAGTTTTCTATGTTCATATTTTAGCTTTCTGCAGTCCGTTGTTGTTTCTCGCTCTTAATTTTTGAGCTTTTAGATTTTTTTTGATGTTCTTTCTTCCTTTTGTGTTCTTTTGTTCGTTGAAATCAGGTCAGTGGGCCAGTGCATCGAAAGCACTTTGCGCGTTGAGGGCCCCCTGGCCTTCGTGCGGTCTTTGCCGGTTTCTTTCGTTTTGAATTTGCCGTTTGGGGCTGTGCTGATTTGCACCAACGAACAGCTAAAGAAAAGAGCCGCCAACTGGAAGCGCCGCAGCGCCCCGGGGGGAGCAGCAGCAGAAAGCAGCAGCGCAGCGGGCAGCAGCAGGCCTGAAGAGCTCAGCTTGCCCATTTACTTCTTGTGTGCGGGTGCGTCTTAAAGGAAATCTTTTATCTTCTCCCAAACATGCAATTTAAAGCAATCGGGCACTCTTTTGCCCTCTCAGACGGCGAATATCTGAACCAGCCACTTCACAAACTCCCGCTGCAACTCGTGCTGCTGCTGCTGCTGTTGCTGCTGCTGCAGGCATAAGCGGCGGCGTTGCTGGTTTTATATCAAATCCCCTCGATGTGGTGAAGACGAGACTGCAGACTCAAGACTGCGCCGTCAGGAACGTGAGGCTCGAAGTAGCAGCTCGAACTGCAAGTTTAAATGCCAAATAAATGAGTAACTTGAAAACAAGCAAACAAATTAACCAAGTAATAATCATTATGATGACATAATAACGAATGCATGCCAAAGAACCTCCTGTTTCTCGCTTCTCAGCATGTGTCTGGCTTGTCGGGCGTCACAAGGCCTGGTGGCTGCCCCTTCGCTCCGTGCACGCCCAAGTACCAAGTGAGTCAAAAGAGTTCATTAATTGTTTTTAATTTTAATTATTTTGTCAATTTTAAAATTGTTTTTGGTTTTTACCGCCAGTTTTTGCCTCTTATCACCAGTTTTCCAGTTGCCGTTCGCTTGCTGCCTTCTCGCCGTTCATTGCGTGGCCTTTGGACGCTGCTCCCTTTGCAGCTGCTGTTGCAGCTGCTGCTGCTCTTGCTGAAACTGTTTCTGCTGCGACTGCTGCTGCTGCGGCTGTTGCTGCTGCTGCAACTGCTGCCGCAAGTGCTGTGGCTTAACTGTGCTGCAGTCCTTGTTGGGGACCATGCGCACCATTTGGTCTGAGGAGGGAATTCTGGGTTTTTGGCGCGTACGGAGAGCGTCTAGTTCCTAATTATTTTAAATAATCAGCAAGTTACTAAATAATCAATTATATTCTTCGTTTCCTGTCATTTCGCCTTTGCTTGTTCCCTCGCGTGACTTTTCTTGAATTGCAGCTGTCCTTTTGCCTCTGCCAGTATATGCGTCCCTAAAAGTATTGCATTTATGTGGTTTTGCATTTTTATTTAGTCTTCAAGGAAGCAAAGTTGCCATTGCTGCAACCGCCGCAGCAGCTGCTGCAGACGCTGCTGCAGCTGCTGCAGACGCTGCTGCAGCTTTCTTTCCTTTTGCTGCTGCTCTGGTGGGCTGTTCAGGGCGTCAGCGGCCGCGTTTGTCTCAATGTTCCGTCTTCCGCTATTTGCTGGGGTGAGCTTTTATCTTTTTTTGTTTATTTAAAAATTTTTTTGCATTTATTTGAAGCTGCTGCTGCTGCTGCTATTTGCTGCTTGCCTGCTTGTTGGTTGATTGTTCTTCTGCAGTGGCACTCTTCCCTGTCTTGGCTTCTTTTCCTGTCATGTTGACGCCCACCATCTGTTATAATTCATATATACTGTGTTACATACATATATATTTATTGATTTATATTTCTTATTTGTTTTTAACATTGAATTCCACTTTTTCATTTTATTCTGTTTTGCTTCCATAGTTCACAAGCCTTCGGTTTCATTTCTTCTGCAGGTTCTTACGAGACCTTCAAGTATTTGTGGCGCCAAATTAAAAGACACAAAACTTAAATGCATGCGGAGGGGCTTCTTAGTGAGCCTTAGAGATTGCCCCCAGCCCCTCCTGGGGCCCCCTTGGGGGGCCCCCTTGGGGGCCCCCGTGAATTTCTGTTGAGGGCCCTGATGGGGACCCCAAGAGGGGCCCTAAAGGGGCCTCCAGTTAATTCAATGAGCCCCGAAAGACTGTGAAGGGGCCCTGTGAATGCTAGGGCCCCCCTTAGGACCTTATCAGGGGGCCCCTTGGGTCCTAGTGCCCACCACTGAGTTGGCCCTGAAGAGGGGCCCTAGAAGGGTGCATAAGAGCTCCGGTTGGGGCCCCCGCAGTGCACAAAGGGCCCCCCTTGCACTATGTAGTGGGCCCCTTGGGGCCCCTTCGAAGGCTCCTTGAAGGGCCTTTCAGTGGCTTTTAAGGGCCCCCATCGAGGCTCTTTTAAGGGGCCCCCGTCGGGGCCCCCTTGGGGACCCAAATGGCATTAGGGGGCTCCAGAAATGACTTTTTGGGGGGCCCCCCGGGGCCCCTAAGTCTGCGTCCCCGCCAAGCACTTGGGGGCCCCCAAGGGGCCCTGAGGGCCCCTCGGGCTAGTTTTTGTGTTTGCAGTTGGGTTTGATTTTTGGTGAGTTTAGCAGCAGATTAAAAAGGGGCTTGTATTTTCTCTTTTGTTTTTCTTGTTTCCATTTCCATTCAATTCTTTAAACGATTTTTCGCGTCGGACTTTGGCGCACTCTTCGGAGCCGTCGCTCAGACCCCTAAGTTTATTACTCAATTCTTGGTGTTTGCTGCTTCTTTTCCTTTGCACTGAGCTGCTGCTGCTGCTTGCGCTGCTGCTGCTGCTGCTGCTTGTGCTGCTGCTGCTGCTGGAGCTGTAGCCTACCCTTGCCTCACTCTACCTCACACACTATAGAGCTCGAAATGGCTGCCAAACGAAATAAAACAAGAAATAAAACAGAAAAACTGAAGCATCAAAAACATAATTCATATTTCCACTGGCTCTCTACTCTACCCGCCCGTCCGCAGGGGGGCCCCCGCAACGCCCCGCAGCTCCCAGGGGGCCCCCGGGGGCCCCAAGGGCCCGGGGGGCCCCAGGGGTCTCGAGAGCCCCGGGGGCCCCTGGGGCCCCGAAGGCCCCTGCGGGGGCCCCCCATAAAGAGCCGCTGGGGCGCCATCACTACAGGGGGGGGCCCCTCGGGAGAGCCCACTGAAGGGGGCCCCCTGTGGGGCCCCCGAGGGCCCCATGGGAGGGCAGCCCCCAAAAGA